TATATATATATTTGTCCTCTCCCTTCCCACTTATCACAAAAAGCAAGTTTTTACCTTCTATAAAAAGACAGGTTTCTCAATATCCATTTGTTGATTCCATAGGGAAGGAGAGTAAACTTTCCTTTCAGCACCTCAAAATTGCCGCTTGTAAATCTCTTCTGGAAAGTATCATTCAAAAAGCCATAGTTTTCAGGATGTTAAATGTGTCTTAAAGTCCTGGGTCAGCCAAGAAAAACTTTCACTTCAAAAACTTTCTCCTCTTCCTCCTGCACATTCTTACCCAGCTGCCGGCTTCTTTGTGGCGGCCATTACAGACTGCTGCTGCACCGTCTTGAGAAAAGGGGGTTTAGCCGGCCGGGGAGGGGGTCTGCAACACCCCCCAAACCCCTCTCCGGATCCCCCTTATCTTCAGCCGCCCCTGCAGGGAAGCCTTAGCCTCCAAACGCGTCCGGATCAGAGGCACCAAAACGGCTAGCGCCGCAGGGATCGCGCAGTATCGCGAATCCCTGCCGCTAGCGAAGCCGACAAACTGGAAGTCCACGTTTTATGTTACAGTTTTGAATAGTCATTTTCCTTTTGATTTTTATGCATGGAATATTCACCTCTCCTGTCCTGTCCTTATTGAGAGAGGTTCCAAGGAGTCAATTTATTCATCAGTCCCTTGGTCTTTGCTATGGTTGTTGGCTCTGCGAAAGCTTCAGTTTACCATATCCCTTCCCTGGAGTTTGATTTTATGTTTATTGGTGATAATATTATAAAATGAGCTTAGTTATAAAATGAGCTTAATATTATAAAATGAGCTTAGATTAGTTTTCCGAGGAACATGCAATATTTAAATATTATTGGTCATGGATAGTTAGAAATTGGACAAAGATCATTCAGGCTCCTATCACTCTTTAATTTGACCTCTAACAAATGTAAATCAGTGCATCTTTTCAGTATTGAGGCTTTTCAAACCACCCATTTGTTATGAAAGTGTACCTATTTCAATTCTAAAGGGCAAGTAAAAAGGTGTATATATCTTGTTTAGCTTCAAATGTTTTCTGAAATTTCAGTCAGCCTTTTCTCCCCACCTGATCTGCTGCTTTCTGTCATGTCAGAAGATGAAGTTTTTGCTGCTGCAACAAAAATATCTAGAGTATCTGGAGGATGGTAAAGTTTTGGAGGCACTTCAAGTTCTGCGTGGTGAGTTGACACCGCTGAAGTACAACACTGAGCGCATTCACATCCTTAGTGGGTAAGTGTTTTAGACTGAAATCTTATGCATACTTGAATTTAGACCTATATAGCTGGATGCCAAGCATAGGGCAAGTCTATGGAGATGCTAGGAAGTGAGCTTATCGGGGAACAATTTGATCCTGTTGGACCCAAGAAAATGGGCAGAGACTTTTGGACTGTAGTGCCCCTAGTGAATTAGATACATGTCCCTCTTGGCTGGCCGAGACAGCTTGGGAGGTCACAGTTTCCAAGTGATGGTGAATTCATCCTTGATGGAGGTGGTGTTTCCAGCTTCTTTTAAAGAGGTCCTGATGTACCCTCTTCGCAAGAAGCCATCAGTGGACTCTACCATTCTGGACAATTTTTATCCCAGAAAGTTGGTAGCCTTGCAAATGCAGAGAATCCTTGATTACCTGAATCTCTTGCAATTGAGCTTCAGGCCGGGATATGGAACAGAACAACTTTGGTTAAAGTTTTGGATGATTTCTGGCATGGGGGTTGTGCATCCATCCTTGTTATTCTTGACAGATTTTGATACCATAAACCATGATATCATTGGTCCAACTTAGGGAGTTGGAAGTGGAGGGGCACAATTTTGTGCTTGTTCATCTCCTTTTGAGGCCAGTCCCAGGTGTATTGATTGAGAGCGAGAGGTCCAGACTGCCCACAGCTTCTTTTTTGTGGGATTCTGCAGGACTCTGTGCTCTTTCCATTTCCATGTACTTGAAACCACTGGGAGAGATCAACTATCATGGCAGAATGAGGTATCATCAGTATGTTGATAGTACTCAATTATATATCTTCATCCCAGGTGAATTAAGTAATGCTGTGGATGTTCTTTTGCGGTGCATAGAGACTATAAGGCATGGATGGGGAAGAACAGGCTTTCACAACCTTGGAAAAACAGAATGGCTATGGGTAGGGGGCTCCTCAATATTCAGGGGTTTATCATGTTTGATCTTGGATGAGGTTACACTGTGAACAATCTTGGGGTCCTCCGGGATTCATGATTGCTTGATGTGTAGGTGGCAGTTGTGGCTGAAGTGGGTGGGTAGGCTTTGCTCAGCTTCATGTTGTGCACCAATTGTGCCCCTCTCTGGACCAGGAGGTACTTGTTTCAATCATTCACATTGATTACATACTTGAATTCCCTTTTCAGTTTTATAGTTTTTTTATAGTACTTTAAACTACTTAGATGATAAATGTATTTAAACATTGCACATTAAACTTTTCCCTCATATATTAAAGCATGATTAAGATTCAGGCCTGTGTTAAACAGCTCCTTAACTAAATCAGTCTCTTGTTTCTGACGAAATAGAAGCTGTACCCTCAGCATTGATTAATATCAATTCAGTATATAGTTCCAGAATGCTTAATCCTTGTGTTTCTGTTCAATATACAGATATCTGATGTGTAGTCATCCAGAAGACTTGCGTACTAAAGCAGAATGGGAAGGAAAAGGAACAACTTCTAGATCTAAACTTTTGGACAAGCTCCAAAGTAAGAAAAAATAGTTTCAAAAGGACACATGTATCCCTGTCTAGATTTCCAGCATATTTCATTCTGAACAGACAAATGTTGATCTGAAAGTACAAATTCATGAGATGATTTGTACCTGTGAAGGGGGTGGTGGTGTGATAGACTACAATGAAGTGATAGTTTCCCCAGAAGGAGGGAGCATATTCCAAACGGGGAGAGGAACAAGACAAGAAGCAATGCAGTCTAGAACTGGATCGGAGGAAGAGAATTAGGATAGCCACTCCTTAAAATCTCTCAAAATATATATGTGAGATGAAAGTAGTATAGATTTAATTTAGTAAGATTCTGACTAGATTGAGCAAATGAACTGAACTTTGAATGGATTGTTCTGTATTATTCTTGGGCTGGGCCTCACAATTATTGTTAGTCAGTTTTCACTTCAATTTTCATAAAGATAGAGTAGAACTAACTAGATGTTTGTTAATGCTACCAAATTAGGGATTATTTTTCCCAGTAGAATGGAGAAATGCATAATTTTCCTTATCTGAGATATTTCCACTTTTTGACAATCCCTAAATCTGTTTTGGAGAGTTGGGAGATTCTTGGGCAGATTGGGATGTATTAGAGATTAAAGGGTGCAGTGAAGAAGAAAATGCCATTATGTGAAGAGAATCTTACTCACAGAATGATAATATTTAATTTGTTATCTAGCCGTTTTTGGCTTAAATAAGGTAAACATGTATGTAGAAAATGTACTTCACAAATTCATTTTTTTAAAAAAATGAATTGATTATAGTGAAATTGCTTTTTTATTTATTTAAGCTTACCTACCCCCATCAGTGATGCTCCCACCAAGGCGTCTGCAGAATCTGCTACGTCAGGCTGTAGAGCTACAACGGGACCGGTGCCTCTATCACAATACTAAACTTGATAACAATCTAGAATCTGTATCACTACTCATAGACCATGTTTGCAATAGGTGAGAGATTTTTTTTAATTTTAAGGGCAATGGTAATACTTTTTAATGCAATAAAATTACTTTTAATTTTAAACAATTAAAAGTAATTATCTTGTGATGGTTGATTTATTTTTGGTTTTACGCAAGTAAGTATTCAGGGTGGCTAACAAGAATATAAAAATTGAGTGTTTTAATTTATATTCAGTTTAAAAATTAAACATTGTATATTTTTGTTTGAGTATGTAGTAAATGGAGGAAAAACATTTTACCTACACAGTTTACTTCTTGAAGAATATTGCATTTTTACAAATGTACTTAGGTTCAGCTTGCAAGCACAATAATAAAGTTGTAGAATTACATAGGTTTGATATCCTGATTCACTGACCATAAGATATTTGTTAACCACATTTATCTGAAATATTAAGAATGTCTGAATTCTGCCTTTTGCAGAAAGTTGTGATTTTCACTTAGAGCTAATAATGGTCTCCTGTAATACTAAGTTAGAAGTGAGTTTCACTTAATGGAGCTGACTTCCATCAAACAATATGACAAAAACTGCAGAAAAAGATTTCAATTTTTTAAAAAGGAGAATGGTAACATGAATGGCAGTTCTTCACACATTTAATATGCATTATGTTAAATCCTATTGAACTCAGGAAGATCCAGGCAGCCTTGCTGTATGCAGGATTGCAAGAATAGATTCCTCTATCAGACTTTAAAGTGGTAAGTTAGAAATGAAGCTTGGAGGACAAGGCTTTATTTCAGAAATTCTCAATTTTCAAAATATATTTAAGAATTATTTCAATAAATCTGAAAAATCATAAAAATAAATCTATGAGGCTAGCTTTGCAGTGAGGGTTGAGTCTGATCAATAGAGAAATGCAAAACATTTGAAAGACCACTCTGCAAAGTGTAGGCAACACACCAAAATATCAGATCTTTCTCTGGTCATATCTGCATGCCTAATTACTTTATTTTGCAGTCTCAGCAGTTGCATTGATAGACATGCACAGATAATCTGAGAAAGGCCACAAAGTTGTTTTAGTGTCTGGAGTATGCAGTTGCTTCAAAGAGGGGTGTTTTACTCATGCAATAGGGTTTGCAAAGTGTTCTTTCAAATGCATTGGACAACCCTACTGCTCTGAATTGAGGTCATACTTGTTTTCATATTTTCAAGATGTTGATTCAGAGCTCATGTTAAGAGTCATGACTTGAGGTGAGGATAGGAAGGTTTATAATAACATACTCATGCATTTTCAACAACCGATTTTGAAAGTTGGTTATATTTTTAAACTAATTTATCTTGCATCCTGGGAGGCTGTCTTTGAAACAACTACAGTTTCATGGCCCTTGGATCCTGGTCGTATTTGGCATTCCCCATATCTATCTCTGCATAAAGAGATAGTATGGCAAGTAGGAAAAATAATAAGATAGGAGATAGGAAAACAGGACATTTGATAAGAAACATTTATAATGTGTGTTTTTTCTATTGTGCATGCAATAGTAATCATTTGCCTGATGCTAATATGGATATTTATAGTGGTGAAAGAATATTTGTGAACCTTTAGTACTATCTGCAATCCTGAAGTATTTGGCCTGGAGTATAATTAAATCTTCATCTAAGTCTAATAGAGAGATGTTAATTAAACAGATGTAGGATAAAATAATGTATGGTCTCATATCTCCATTGTACACATTGAATTAATATTCACTATTATGGGAAAAACATGTAAAACTCTAGTATAATCAGCTCTCTTAAACAGATCAGTGGAGTCAGATTGTTATTGATTGATTAGATTTATAGGGCCATCTAACTTGAACAGTGTGACTGGGCAGGATACAACAAAACTTCTAATCAGCGAGATTATCAGATGTGATTTTGAACAGTTTCCCCACTAAATGCACACACTCACAAAATTATTCTGGCCTTACCTTAAGTTTATACAAGATAGCTTAAAATGTAAATAAGGACTGAGCAATATAATTATATATTTATTTATAGTTTCTATAGCTGCTCCATCTCAATCAATGACTCTAGGTGTCTTACAATTCCAAAACTATAAAAACAAAACAATAAAAAGCATTTTAAAAACACCAAAATATATTTCCAAAATGATGTGCAAAATTGATTAGTTGGTACAAGAAACATTGGGCTGAAGTCATTATTGCTAAAGGAAATGCCATCAATTATTTTTTTTAATATAAATTTTATTTGGATTTTCACAAAAAAACAAAACAAATAAAACATCTTTCTTTGAGAATAGCCTGATCACGGGTTATCACTTCTTCATACAGACACAAACTCAATTTCATGTTCATCTTTGTATTCTATTCCATGTCTTAATTTTCTACATAGTTTTTCCCCTCCCTTGATTTTCTCAATTTTATTTTTAATTATCTCATATCTCAATTCAAATCATTATATTTGTACTTTTGTCTGTCCTGTTTCAATTTCATATTATCTTTTCTCATTAAACAAATTTTCCCCTGTAGTTACTAATTTGAGTATGACATCTTTATATCTTTTAATTTTATCCATTCAACTCTTATTTGAACTTCAATTTATACCTTTAAAATTATAGCAATCTATAATACATAACTTCCAATTGAATTCTGCTTGGTACATTCTTAAAGTACACGCTATATTCTTTAAAAAATTTATATATATATATATGTAAATAAAACACTCATTCCATTCCAATTCAATTCTATCATTAATATTCATTAAAATCTTAACATTTTTTTCTTTTCAATTGAATATCATACTTCCTTGTGAACACTTATAAACTTTCCATAATTCTTTTTTTTTCATATTTCTCTTCACTTATATTTTTATAAACCATTAATAATAATTAAAATGTTCCCATCCTTTCCTAATTTAATTCTCTCATTCATTTTCATTTATTTAGTAACAGACGTGCCACTATATCACAATAAATATTTTATCCATCATTTTAGTCATCATATTTTCTAAAAATTATTTCTATTTCTAATATAACAATACTATCTTATGTACCATTGCAGAATCCCTTTTCAATTAAATTTTCACCCATTATCTCTAAACAGGCTTATACTTTCAATCCTTGTACCTTTTCCCTGTTTCTCTGTATCTTGTTTCTTTTGTAACTTCTTTTCCTTTCCTTCTTCCCCCACTTCTTCTCCCTCCCCCTTTCCTCCCCTTGTCTCTCTACTTCTAATTCTCTCTTCTGTGATCCCCTCTTCTGTTGCTTTCTAATATTGTAATTATTTTTCAAAGTATTCTTTTTTTTTTTTTTTCAAATCTTAAACTTTTCACTCTCTTTCCCCCATTTCCTCCCCCCCCCCACATAACATTACTTGATCATTAAAGATGGCTTCTTCTTTGTCCAGATCTTCTTGTTCTATAAGCGTTTCTTGTTGTTTCTCATAGTTCCAGATCTCCATTTCTAAGAGTTGAAATACGAAGCCAAAAGAACCTCTCCCTTCTTGTGCATCTTCTTTGTACTTTTTAAGTTCCATTTTCAGTTCTTTTAGAAGTGGTGCCATTTTAAACACTTTTAAACAACTACCCGATTGATTTTAGTCATTTAAATGCAATAGCCAAAAATCCAAAAATCACCAAATAATCCAAAGCTGTTTCTTCTTGCTTCTTTTTTCCACTTTCTCTTCCTGGGGTTCTATTATTTTGTTACAAAGTTTCAGTTGAAGTGTATCTTTTAGGAATCTTCTTAAGATTTCACTGTAAATTCCTTTTAGTTCCAGGCAGTCTCCTCCATTTTTCCAGATCCTGCCCTTTTATTCTTTTTCTCTCCCTTCCTGCTTTTAAAAGTTTTTAAATATCCAAAAGCTTTATTATCCCTTTGACATTTTATTTTCAGCTTAAATGCCTATAAATGTCAGAGTGGATTTTTGTCAATTTCTTAATTAAGTCTCTTAGTTGTCAGTATAAGGAAGGGAGGAAGAAAAAAAAAACCAAATCCTTTCCCTTCCCTCTCTCCTTTTCAAAATCTTCTTTGGGAACAATGTTATTTTTATATTTTAAATTCCAGAGTACCTTACGTTGTTCCTTTTGCGGTTTAACCCGGTTAGCCAAAACTTTCTCTTCTTATCTTCCTCCTGCACTTTCTTTTCCGGTTGAGTTCTTCTTTGAGGTGGCCATTTCTGACCACCGCTGCAACCGCCTTCGGGAAAGGGAGTTGTGGCCAGCTGGGGAGGAGAGATGTGGCTCTCCTCGACCCTGCTGGCAGTCTCACCCCTCTTCACCTCTACGGGGTGGCTTAGCCCCGAAACCAGCCGGCACGGGGCGCTCTGGCGGCGAGCATGGATCGAAACCGCGCACGATCGCGGATTTCGGTCCGTCGCCGAAGGAGCTCAAACCGGAAGTCAGGAAATGCCATCAATTATTAAATCTGATGCATTGCATACTTTTTTTTCAACGAAGATGAAGTTGGTTCAATATGTTCAGTGGAGACATGATACTCTATGCTTTCTTATGCATTGTTTAATTAAACTATTGATGAATAAGAAACTGTAGGTCAGGCTGCAAGATGATGGATTGTTCTAAAAGTTCACAAACTTTTGGATTCTATTGTTCACATAAAACTGATACTTTTTCTACATGTTTGTTTTTTAGGAAACATTTTCCATGTTATACTCAGCAGATACTTACAGAGCACTGTAATGAAGTATGGTTCTGTAAATTTTCCAATGATGGCACTAAACTAGCAACAGGATCCAAGGATACAACTGTTATTATATGGCAGGTTGACCCTGTAAGTATTCTACGTGGCAAAGTGTTTCCATAAAATTAAATGCTTTTTTCCTCAGTTTGATTTCCATTTAGTATGTCATTTTTAAATACCTTGGTATGGTTCTGTTTGCATGCATTTTGGGCTTAAGTCTTATATCACTTGTTTAATTTATTTGTTCTTTTATATGGAAAGTAAAGTCCAATAAAAGGTATGCAAACTAGCTACAATTTGAATAACTGCAATATTCTGTCTCGGTTTCTTGTATAAAACAAGAATATGAGCATTCTTTATGATTTGGTGGCCATTTCAGAAGCCAAAAAACATAGACAGGAGAAAAATAGTTGTTTTCCAATTTTTCACTAGATACTTTGCAGTAGCCTTCCAATTATTTAATAGTTGCAATAATATTATTCCCACTAAATTATTGAAATAAAGACTTGTGGTAGCCAGGTATATCCAAATATAATAAGTTCAGTTCTATACTAAAAAATGATTCCAATATTGTAATTTGCAAAAAAATGCACCCCAAATTCTGTTTGACTAAATTGATTAGAATAGACAATTAACATGTGCAATCTATAGCAGTTTAAAATGTCCTGAAAAGTATTTGTTAGGCTTACATTGGATTTATGTGTTGTTGTAGAAAATAAGGTAATCTTCTGTTTGTCTTATTTTCCTCTAGTTTTTTGTCAATATTTCAAAGCTGTGTTTACTCCTTTTAATTTTATGTGTGCATGTTCATTTAGTATAGTTACAGTAAATATGCTCCATTAACAATATATGAAGAAATTTAACATTTTAAAATAAAAAAAGCTTGAAATTTAAATATACAGTGGTGCTTAAAAGTTTGTGAATGCTTTTGAATTTTCAACATTTCTGCATTAATATGAACCTAAATGTTTACTGTTTTCCACACGTCCTGAAACTAGATAAAGAGAACCAGTTAACCAAATGAGTCAAACATACTTATTATTTATTTATTAAGGAAAATGATACCAAATTACATATTTGTGTATGTACAAGTGGGACCCCAGAGAAAGCAAAATGTATTAAACATGTTTCTAAAACTAATACTTTTTCTATTGTAATTATGCAGATTAGACATAAATAGAATTTTCCCTTTTTGTTACAGCAGAGTGTTTGTTTGTGTTTGGTTTATTTTCTTTAATGCTTCTTTTCCATCATAGTACTATTTTAATCTTGTTGAGAATATTTTGCTTTGCATGAGTTAGTATCAAGAAAAGCCACTGATACTTTTTAAGAGTGTTATGGTTACCTTGTGTAGCCTTTCCAAACATCTATTCATCTAGATAGGAAAAATTAGTGTGTTTCAACTCTTTTTTTTTTTTTTTGATAAGTGAATATTAAAAACAAAAATTCAGAATTCTGGTTCCTAATATGTTGCTTTGCTAAATGGTTTGTAGGCAGGGGTGGGATACAACAGGGTTAACTACCGGTTCGGGATTTACAAGGTTCGGTGATTTATGATGTGCTTCCCTGCACGCTGTGAGCCTCCCACCTGTAAATCGTCATCAGCAGGCTGCATGCAGAGAAGCAGCCTTTGAAACAGCCCTTTTTTCCTGCTTTTTTAACTGCAGCTGTGCCTCGTTCGGCAGCTGAAGTTGAAAAATCAGGAAATAAAGGTCAGGTAAGAGCCCAGGTGGGCGGGTGGGCAAAAACATCAGCAGACATAGACCCGGTTCTATGTCTGCTGCTCTTCAGAGCTACCGGTTCTACAGAGGTGGACAGAACCGGTAGAAACTCACCCCTGTTTCTAGGATTGTGAGAATAAATTACTCTTTTAGGTTAGCTACTTAAACTATATAAAAGGCTTGCCAACCAATTAAATTACTGGAATTTTATATTTTCTGCTTTTAAAGGATACACATCAACTAAAACTGCTCAAGACTTTGGAAGGCCATGCATATGGTGTCTCCTATATCGCTTGGAGTCCTGACGACAACTACCTGGTTGCTTGTGGCCCAGATGACTGCTCTGAGCTTTGGCTCTGGAATGTACAAGTAAGAATGATAAAAGTGGAGTGTTAGCATGCCTTATTAAATAGAATTCTTTATTGGCCAAGTGTGATTGGACACACAAGGAATTTGTCTTTGGTGCATAAGCTCTCAGTGTACATAAAAAAACATTCATCAAGATCATAAGATACAACACAGTGATAGCCATAGGATACTAAATAAACAATCAAAATCATACTAGGAAACTAAATAAACAATATAATCATAAAGATATAGGCAACAAGATTATAGTCATAAGCAAAAGGAGATAGGTAATAAATAGGAAGGATGAGAAGAATAGTAGTAATACAGTCTTAGTAAATATTTTGCAAGTGTTGTGGGAATTAGTTGTTTAGCAGTGGTGGCATACGGGGAAACACTGTCCTTGTGTCTAGTTGTTCTAGTGTGCAATGCTCTATAATGTCATTTTGAGAGTAAAACTTGAAACAATTTATGTCCAGGATGTGAAGGGTCTGTAGATATTTTCACAGCCCTCTTTTTGACTCGTGCAGTATACAGGTCTTTAGTGGAAGGCAGGTTGGTAGCAATTGTTTTTTCTGCAATTCTAATTATCTGTTGAAGTCTGTGTCTCTCTTGTTTGATTGCAGAGCCAAACCAGACAGTTATAGAGGTGCAGATGACAGACTCAATAATTCCTCTGTAGAACTGAATCAGCAGCTCCTTGGGCAATTTAAGCTTTCTGAGAAAGAACATTATTTGTTGTGTTTTTTTGATGACATTTTTGATGTTAGGTGTCCATTTTAAGTCTTGAGACATGATAGAACCTCGAAACTTAAAGGTCTCTACTGTTGATACTGTTTTGTCTAGTATGGTAAGAGTAAATAGCATAGATATATGGACCATACTCAGGTTATTTGATACTTTTGGAGGAAATCATTGGCTGTTCTGGATGTTAGATAGTTCCATATGGAAAATTCCAAATGTTGATATTTGACAAAACTTAGAATGGAGCAACATTTGGAATATTTTTAGTGTTTTGTTTATTGGAAGCCATGGGGTAAGCCATTTATTTTCTTGGCTTTCACATTAAGGCCATGAGAGAAAGTAGTAGCTACTTTCTTCCATCCAACATGCAGAAGAATTGGCCCAAACACACTCTACTGTTGGGGAGGCGCTTGTTGGAAAACATTACTTTAGAATGTATTTTATTTATAGATGTGAGTTAATTGTAGTGTGCTGGACATACCTGATATTTATATTCCAGTTTAAAGTAATAGGTTGAGAATAAATGAAGATAAATTCAGACTGAGTGAGATACTAATGGTGGGAAGATTTGAAATTGATGTCTCCTTTCTTCTAGACAAGAATTGTATTTTCCTAGAACGTGAATTGCTAGACTTGCATGTATCAGCAATAGCCAAAACAGTTTTGTAGCATTTTTAAACTGGTCCTCTTGATTAAAGATGAACTTAAAGTAAGAATAGTCTGGGTTATGTACTGTAATAACTTTCAGTTGGATATTGCAAATTACTAAGATAACTTTGTAAAATGTTCTTTGTAATAGTATTTTGGTTTAGAACTTTATTAAATTGGGAACTGCTCCTATAATTTTGGGAATGAGCTGAAATAAGCCTAACACATTGGTGGTAGATTATATTAGCACTATATTTGTTAATTAGCATAATTCTGAGTTCTGATTTGATAATCAAAGGCTTACAGGCTTACATAGCCTAGTTATTAGAAGCTGGATTATTTTTTTCAGTGATCCATGTTATTACTTTAGAATGAGAGTGTGTGAGTGTGTGAATGAATGAATCTCACAGTCTTCCTTGCCCCTTCCCAGGTGTACTGAAATTAAAATTGCCTGAAGACATTAAGGAAGTTTGATTTATGCTAGGTACTAAATAGCTACTTTATTATATAGTTGAAATCACTTTTGGATTTTATCACCAGTTTTGTAAACATTAATTAGACATGGTGTTTGTTTCAACTACACTGATGCCCATGTATACTACAATTTCAAAGAACCTTAACTATATAACTTCATCTGCAGACGGGGGAGCTAAGGACAAAGATGAGTCAATCCCATGAGGATAGCTTAACCAGTGTGGCCTGGAATCCAGATGGAAAACGTTTTGTAACAGGAGGGCAGCGTGGGCAATTTTACCAGTGTGTAAGTTGGAGTGGACAACCTTTTTGCGGCCATTGGCTAAATTGTTATTCTTATTTAGTTGTTTGCAAAGAACCACATGGAGTGTGCTTGTTGAAGCCACTGGAGTGGGTGGAAATAGAATTTTCATTCTGTTTTGGGGGGCTTTCCATGAATGCTGTGGGCGGGGGTTCCCACTGGAAAACAGATTTGTTAAAGCTAGAAAAGGCTCAACACCTATTTTGTATAAACAAAAAGGGTAGAAACATTTGGGGAGTTCGGGTTATCTATCTACACAGATTGCCCATTCCTGTTATAAAGAAGTGAGTCTTTCACTATACCAAAATGCATCCGTCCCTGATATAGGGGCCCTTGTGCTAATATGTTTGTGTTGTGCCTAAATATATATATATTTACAGTGAAAAACTGCTTAGAAGTGGCTTGTTACAAACCTTTGGTAAAAGCCGTATTAGCATTGATGGACTTATTACCTGAAATATATATGAAATTGTGTATGTTGCTGTTCTTACAAAAAAGGAATTCTATGATGCTAGTTAAATAATATATTCAACATGACATACATGTTCATGTACTAGACTCTAGTACTGATTATATGCCAACATAAGCTCTAGTAACTAGAGCTTATGTTGGCATATAATCAGTATGTGTAATAAGGACTCTAGTCATTATTATTACCATCTTTAGCTGGTAAATATTCACATGTATATAAACGAAATTGGTAGGTCCAAACACCCTTTGAATGCAAGATAAACCATCTACATCCTGCATTCCTTTCTACATTTTCTAAGCAAACCAAAAGTTGTATTTCTGAAACAAAACAGTATATGTTACAATGACACCATCACACGCATGCACGCGCACACACACGCCTCAAGATTGTGAACCATGGAGGCAACAAAGTAAGTTTCACAGAACAAAGTCTGCTTTTTAAATTTTAGGTGATACCCATAGAATCTGTTTTTACAATACAGCCCCACCATTTCATGATGGAGATAAAATAATAGGTTTCATGTTTTTGGTAGCTTTTTTTAATAAGGATTTTGCTTTATCTATTCCCTGTCTAGGATTTAGATGGTAATCTCTTAGACTCCTGGGAAGGAGTAAGAGTGCAGTGCCTGTGGTGTTTGACTGATGGGAAGACTGTGCTGGCATCGGACACACACCAGCGAATTCGGGGCTATAACTTTGAGGACCTTACAGACAGAAATATGTAACTACATTGTTTTTCTATTGCACTAGATAAATTAATCCTATGGTTGGCTAAGCATTTAAACTGAGCTAATGAAAATAATATTCCACATGATTCTGGATCATATATTAATTCTAAATTGGGCTTTTCAAAAAAAAAATCCTATATAAATAATGTAAATGTGAGAAGTAAATAAATAATAAATAAACCTTGAAGGGTGAACTACTAGTGCAGTCATAATTGGGCTCATTGTAAGACCCCTGTAATAAAGAATATTGAAACAATATTTACATTTTTGTACGGTTGATAATTTTGAATCATAATTCTAATACTGTTTATATTTTCAGAGTACAAGAAGATCATCCAATTATGTCTTTTACTATTTCGAAAAATGGCCGGCTAGCTTTGTTAAATGTCGCAACTCAGGTACGGGGATATTGTTGTTTTAAATAGGCAGATTCTTTTGAGAAATATTTACAGTTTGCACACTAAAAACAACTTGCTTGTGGCATATATGCTCTACCTCCTGTCTTGTCAATAGAACTCTAGCTATGGTTCTTTCTTGTCAGGGTGAGAAAGAGGTCAGAATTTTTTTTATTTATGATAGTGGCTAACACAATAGGGCATATAGCCAGCGTTCCTTTCTGGAAAGCTGAATGAAAAAAAAACCCCTCTTCATTAAATTACTGTGGATAATTATGTATGAACCTACATTGATTCTTTTTCTTCTAATTCAGAGGAACGTATTTGGAATCACTGTATGTCTGGTGACTGCCATATCAAAATTCAGTTTCAAACTGATAATTTTTTTGCAGTGCAATTTAAAAAAAACTAAAAAGAGTAGGAATGAGAACAGATGTATAATTCTCATTTTCATCTTTAACTCCCTAAATTTGTTGTTTTTGATTTGCCTTTGTATGATAAGATTGATTTATATTTATTGTTACTATGTTATATTTTTATTTATGATTGTTATTTTTATTTTATTAGATTTTTATCCCGCCTCTATTATTTTTATAAATAACTCAAGGCAGTGAACATACATAATCCTCCCTCATCCTGTTTTCCTCACAACAATCCTGTGAGGTGGATTCGGCTGAGAGAGAATGAGTTAGGTTGAGGCAGGATTAGAATTCAATCTCCTGGTTTCTAGTCTAGTGCCTTAATCACTAGATCAGAGGTCTCCAAACTTGGCAACTTTAAGACTTGTGGACTTCAACTCTTATGCTGACTGGAGAATTGAAGTCCACAAGTCTTAGAGTTGCCAAGTTTGGGGACCCCTGAACTAGACCATTGTTACATTGCATTGCTATAATATTGTTATATTGTTACCCATTGGGATTGGAATGTATGCTGTTTTGAAATGAAATGGCATACAGGTGATCTTTGACTTATGACTACAATTGAGCCCAAAATTTCTATTGCTATATAAGATGTTTGTTTTGCCCCATTTTATGACCTTTCTTGCCACAATTGTTAGTTCTTAAGTTAGTACAATAGCTACAATCTTGAGTTACAAATGTAATGGCAGCTGCCCATTACAGTTGTAATGTTAATTGAATCACGTTAAATGAATGAGCCCCATGCTGCTTCTTCCCAATGCATTTGTGAATCAAATGTGTGGGTCATTAAGAGCGCATGAGGTACCTCAGGAATAGGGAAGACCATGGGAGGCTAGTGCAAGGACAAGACCACTGCCTCTGGTGACCAAAAGCTCCACCCACTGAGATATCCCATGCGCTTCTTCCCACCCCTTGGAGTCCCCCAACTGCTTCTGCCTTCTCCCCACCCCATCACCGACCACTCACTTATGTTTGGAAAATCTCCACACTTCTAGATCAGCAGTCCTCAACCTTTCCAGCTTTGTGGACTGGCGGAGGGGGAGGGTTCCGTGCCAATTGCTTATGCAAGTGGAACTGTGCGTACTCACCCGCTGCTTGTGTGGCCCAGTTTTGAACCAGCAAGTGGAACTGTGCGTACTCACCCGCTGCTTGTGTGGCCCAGTTTTGAACCAGCTGTGGCCCGGGGGTTAGGAACCCCTGTTCTAGATGATGGCACAAAGCTGTTTTCCCCTAGATCTCATGTCCTAGGTCAAGGCCTTCCTGTATACCGTTTCAGTCCAAGAGGAATGTAAACAGTTTACATTCTATTCCTACGGTTAGTGTTAAAATATGAAAATAGTGTCTAAAATGATGAAGACAAAACTTCCAATTACAATCCTTGGTGGATGTTCTAGTTTATATTATGTGGTCTTCTCTTAGGGCTCTCTTAAAAAGTCAGACTTTAGCAGTTTTCCCAAAACAAGTTAACTATATTCAAAAATCTTTTTATTTCTCCAGTTCAAGTAGTTAAATTATTTAAAAAAAATTGTAAAAGGCAATGAGACTTGCTTAACCTTGAAAAGATACAGTGGTTGGCAAATGCAAGAGGACTATGCAAAGTTTATATCCAAACATCAAATAAAAGGCAATTCATGCAATATCTTTTGTGCCCTCTATAATTTAGGAAAAGACCAGAGCAATAGAATATGTATTTTTCTTGAGAAAGATCCCTTGTTCAGTCCCTGACATCTCTTAGAGCAAGAAGGAAATCTTACTGAAAGCTGGTAAAGCTTTTATGAATTGGTGTGATGTTGTGAAACTGTTGATGGTTTCCTATATTCTACTTCACCTTCCCACATGCAAAAACATCTATTAGAAGCCTTAAGATGTGATACATGGTATAGTGAGTGGGGAGAATTGGAGAAAATTTTATGGCAGCTGGTGTAAGTGGGAAACAGCATCTGCTCACATTTTACTGGTGATTTTTTTTTCATACTGCAGCCCCTGCACCACTTATTTCTCTTTCCTGAAAGTTTCCAGATAGAAGCATTCAGGAAATATAAATGGGTTCTTTGGGGAGAAGTAAGAAGAAAAGTTCTGCTGGATAAAAGACAAATGCTCATATGCTTTTTGCTTGTGAACAAAAATAGTCCTTTTTAAAATTTTATACTGATGCATTGAATCTTATTCAGATTAAATTATTTTATTAAATAGTGAAGCCAAATAATGGAGAGGAAACTTTTTTTTTACAATAAACTGTTTCTATCATGCTTTTTGTCCTCAGGGAGTTCATTTATGGGATTTGCAAGACAGAGTTTTAGTGAGAAAGTACCAAGGTGTTACACAAGGGTTTTACACAATTCATTCATGTTTTGGAGGCCATAACGAAGACTTCATCGCTAGTGGCAGTGAAGGTAATTTTTTTAAAAAAATCTCTCTCTCCCTCTGTCTCTGTTTCTCTCCCTTCTCTCTCTCTCTCTCTCTCTCTCTCTCTCATTCAGTCACAAACTCTCTGCATTAGTGAATATTATAGTCTTCTCACTCTCTGAGTTTTAATAAGCAGAGTAGGTGCCCCTTACATTTCCATAAGTGGTGATAAATACTCATTGAAAAAAAGGATTCTACTTCGGAGAACAGTGGGATCCACAAGTGAAATGTGTTCTATCTTTTTGATAGTAATGGCTGTAATTTTGATATGATTTGTACAGTATTTAGTACTGTTGCTCTAATAGTTCTCTGAGGTATTAACTTTTATTTGCAATAGATTTTCTAAAGGTAGGTGTAGAGTATGTAAATTCATCTGTCATTTCGATTATAATCAATTGTGGTAAGAGAAGTATGGTCTCCTATACTGCAGCAGGATCTTCTGTATTCAGTATCTTCCATCATGAGCTTGAAACAATCATGGTTGTCTTTTAGCAGGTTCCCTTGTCAATTGTGTGAGAAGCCAGTTTATCAGATGTTCTTGGCATTCAGGGTGCTGATCCACTCTCAGGTTCTTGCTCTGTATTGCTAATATAATTGTAATACAGAGTGGGCAACAATACTCCTGTACTCCAAAAACTTCAGGAAGATGTGGTTTTGGTCTGAGCAGGAGTGGAGTCATAGATTGAGTCAACAAAAATAGTATCTTAATGGGTGAAATGCTTAACTGAGAATAGCACCTCTTTATTGGACCTCATATTAATATCTTGTCATTGTAAATATTTGTCAGTCCTTATATGCATGCATTTTTAACTCCCTTCCCCTTCCAAACAGTCTCTGGCCCAGAAATAACTGTCCGCCTATTGACTTTTTGGTGTATCGAATAATTCATACACCACTTAGGGCAGCATGGACAAATCACTTAGCTACAGCCTACTGTTTGTTTGACATGAATATGCCGATTAACTTATCCAGGTCAACTTAGAACAGCTTTTTATTTTTTTCATTTTCAGTGTCTAAAAACTACCCAGCTGTAGTTGAAGCTGATGGCACCTTATTTAGATTCGGACTGCCTGAGGCTGTTGCCTCTTTGCACTGAATTGTTGCAAATATGGCTGCTGTGAAAGTCTCTATGTACAAAAAAAGTAACAGATTTAAATGTCATAACCTCTTAAATGTAAAGGTATGTTTTCAGCTAGGTAGGCATTTCACCTACCAGCCCCAAACATCAAATGGTCTGCCCTGGGAGTAAAGTTCACGTCTAATTATGTAAAGAAGCATTAAGGTACCATAAAAAAAACTCTCATGGGAGTAAGTACTGAGTGTTGTTGCCTTAAGATGAATAACAATCCTTGAAGTTGTGAGATAATGTGTAATCAAATTTTTTAATCAGATTAAAATTGGGAGAGTAAATATAAACAAGGGTGTCTGATGTAATTTAAATGTTGTGGCACTTATTTTTAAAAATCTTATATGAGCTGATTTAGCTAGTAAGTATTTCTGTTAAATAATGTGGCATGTAAGTAGAAGGAGTTGTAACCTGGGAAGAGACTAAAATGCTTCGGATCCTTTATTATTTGAATTTATTGTTAAAGCAAATGATTTTAACACTTTCGTACATCTTAAAAGTTTTTCTTATGGTGCTTATTTAATCAGATATTTAAGTAAAGCCACAAAGTTATTCTAGTACTTAGCAAAAAATATAATTTCTGGCAACTACTTTGATATGTGGTTCTTTCAGTGTAGACATAGTTGCATATTTGAGATTTCATCTACCCTTGCTATGATCATTCAACTTGTGTCTCAGGATTAGCAGTGGCATAGAAGTTTCCATTCATATGTTCAGCTTAGTAAATGTTTTATGTGAATGTAATGGAACACACCAACACAGTTACAGCTATAAATTACAACTTGGCTGTATCATGAACAAACTGTGAAATGGATTGCTTATTGGCTAAAGTATACTGACAAAAGGTGTTTTTATTGGGCATTATACTTAAAGGCAAACGAGCTATCTGAATGTAACTTCCTCTTATTCTGCATGTGGGCTGGCATTGCCTGATTTCCCCACTATCTTTTTCATGCAACAGTACCATGAATAGGGTATTGCACAGTTAATTTAGTGTAGGATGGTTCACTATAGTCATAAAGTTTCATGTTTAAAAACATTTTATTTTCCAATCACAAATGAAGTCCTTTATTCAAAAGGCAGAAGGTTTTCTGGGGAAATCCCCCTACCTGTCATTAAAATGGTCAAATTAAAAAATATAGGAATTAGAATCCAGAGCTTTTCAATTTCAATCTTGTATGTAAATTTATTATTAATACAAATTAGCATATAAACAGATTCCTAATTAGATTATATAAATCCTGCCTTTATATTTAATTTTCTACAAATATCTGCATTTTGTAAAGAAAATCAGTACATGCTGTTAGTTTAAAACATGGAATTTTAAAGGCTTTCTTGAAACTGCTGGATGTAGCATTAAGCGTTTGTTTTGGGATATGCATGGAATTTTTAAAATGTAAACATGAATTGTCATGTTGATTACAGAGGATATTTTAAATTTTAGGATCTCATGTTTTTTCAAACCTATCTGTCTTAGATCATAAAGTATATATTTGGCACAAACGTAGTGAGCTGCCAATTGCGGAACTGACGGGGCACACACGTACAGTCAACTGCGTGAGCTGGAATCCACAAATTCCATCCATGATGGCCAGCGCCTCTGATGATGGCACTGTTAGAATATGGGGACCATCACCTTTTGTAGACAGCCAGGATATTGAAGGTAAAAAAACCCAAAACTAATTTTATGAGAGGGAAAGATTTTAAGATTCAATTATTTTATGTTTAATTTTCCTTATTGCATTTAAATACTGTGATTTGCAACGTTCATGGTGTATACATAATTTAATCATACAGTGAAAGGTTTGAATAGCCTTAGGTATCTTCTAGTCCAACCTTCTGCCCACTATAGGAATTCACTCTTACAATACCACCACCAACCCAAAAAATAAAAAATAAATGGCCACTCAGCCTTGATTAATATGCCTCCAGCAAAGCATTTTGCTAGTATCATAAAATGTAAGGACTGGAAAGGAGGAATAAAATGGTAGGTTAAGTCCATTACCCAGACAAAGAAGAATCATACAATTTGGATTTCTTCAGTCCTTTCGAAGTTTGTACCTAAATGGCTTACATCTCATCCATACCTAAACAATGAAAGAACATTACTATGTAGAGGGCTGATACTAAGTGATTCTAATGGATATTGAAGTAAAGCACAGTCTCACAAACCTAATTACGTTTTTCTCAGCCTTCTCATGCCTTTGAGGAAACATTCTCTGGCTGAATGGTTGGGACTTACATTCGATATTCAGGACTTTAATACTTATCTTTTTTTCCCTTGTTCCTTCTTGGAGGAATGGGTGTAACCACTGCAAGAGGCAGATGGATTTAGATTTACAGAGACCATGTATAGCAGTATTTGACTAAATCATTTAATATTGCAATTCATATTACTAAGCAATGACTATATTCAATACCTTTTGCAATGATGCACCTTATGTAGTGACAGGCAAGGCTACAATCTCATATATTTATGTATTTACTAAACTTTGGGGACTGACTACATTTTGTCAAAGCAGAAGCACTTTTTAAAAAATGCTAAAGCATATTTCTCTTACTTTGCAGAATTCATTACTTTTTATTTTTCTCTGTAGCTTTCACATATCATTGCCGGATGATCTCAGACATCAAGGAAATGTTGAACATGGAATATGATTGATTGTTCTGGGTTGTTGTGATAGACAAATCACACAAAGATTTTAGATTACTTATTACTCATTCGGTTCAAACCTAGTTGTGGTTAACATTGAACCACAATTTGGGGTGTTCTAAATTGATAAAGACCTTTTTAAACAAACTTCCTGGGACGTGTTCTGTATAATTAAAGTAGAAAGAAATCTTGCTACTTTTACTGTATGATCCTTCAACATTGGGGGTTAGCAATCATCGGATTTACCTGTCACATCAAACTAGATGAAAATGTCACAGCTTGAATGTTATTTATTAAATTTCTCTGCCCTCATTTTACCCAAGTGACACTGGGTAGTTTACAAGAACATAAAGATTTCCAAGTCAGATTAAGTGCTGTGGAGATTTGAATCTTGTCTCCCTGGTGTTAATTCAGTATAAAACTACTGAGGTTAGGACTAGGTTTGGATTTTGCCATTACTATATTATGAAGGTAGCAAAGGCTTATGAAGCTGCATTAGAAATAGGAGTCAGTGAAATCCAGTAGCTTAAGCAATCATGTGTAAGACCACATTTTAAAGAATTGCAAGCTCCTTTTAAAAATTGTAAAAGTTCAGGAAAAGAAGTATATTTTTAACAGCTGCTAGACTGGTTGTACTCTATTGTTGATGAAGTACTGGTACATGTGTGGTGCAGAGAAGTAGATGCTGGCTGTTTGTGGATAGAACAGTGATAGTTTATATTGCAGGGGTCCTCAAACTGGACGAAAACTTGTTTTAAGGTTAGCGTTCCAGCTGTTTGAATTGGAATTTAAATGGGCTTTCAGTTCTTGGCCAGAGGCCAATCTCTTAGGCTTCATTGCTCCACTGGCACTGCTTCTGCATCCTTGTCCTTTATTGAGCTGAATTAAAAAGAAGCCTTGACAGTGTCACTCAGAACTAAGTTTGGCAGAGGCTGAGCCAACCTTTGTAATGAGTAATTTAAGCTTTCTCTTTTTTTCTGTATTGCCATTTGTATCATAAATTTTATATTATTTTGAACATTATCATTATCCACATAATTTCCAAACAATGAAGTATTGTTTTGCACAAGAAACTTATAAAAGCTCTTGCTGGGTAGCCACAAAGAATGCAATACTTATTGTTGCTGTTCAGTTAGTTTACAGTGAATTTCCAGTGATTAATTCTCTTTTTGTGTGAATAAAATGTGCATATATCACGACTGAAATATACAAGACAATATGGACGTTCTTAATATATTTTTGTTTACATTTTATCTCTTCCCCTTAGAGGAATGCAGTAGCATGGATAGTTGATGGTGAATTCGGAGCAGACGACTTCTGTTTAACTTAAATTTAGTCGTATTTTAAATGGCTTGGGATTTGGTGCAAACAAACATGATTGATAGCTGGACAGACATGCTCATCATGAAAATGAACCATTTTTTAAGCCCGACTGGGGCCAAACATTTTACCACCTTGCTTCATAGTAAACAGTTGAGATGAAGCACGTCGTTAGAACGTTGTTGGACACCATGTTGAAGTAACCCCCCATCGGTTGTGAAGAACTGTGCTACATTCAGGCTAACCATTGAACTCCGTATATACATTTTCCCCTTCTGCCATTTTGTCAGGCAGACTACTGTTCTTGTTGCTCTTCTGTGTAATGAAGTTTAAATGCTTGTTTGGAAAACCTTTTATTTAACAGTTTAGAAAGTTTGATAGAAAGAGTGCTTTAGTCTGAAGAGTACATGTTGGATAGGAAAGTATTTCCTTCTCTTGTTTCTCTGAGTCTGCCTTATTTAGCTCGAGATCTTTGCAGCTTGGTTCATGGATTCTAGCCTTGCCCGTTGCGCAGTATATCCAAATCCAGATGTAAAACTAGTGAATGACATGAAAAGCACTCTCAGTATCACACTTGACAAAAGGTTTTGTACTTTTCACGTAGCTTGTAACCCTATAAATGGGTGAACAGCACAAATTTTTTTAAGAATAAATTATTTATAGCATTAAAATGACTTTGATTTGTATACGTTTGGAAAATAAACCAGCTTAAAAAGTGTCATCTACAAGTTAAATGCAGTATAATTGGTGCTCCTTCTGAGTGTTGTGTAAGACCATTTGGCTAGCAGGAGTTTTACACAAATTATATGAAGTATTATTAAAAAAAACCTTTGTTTACCAACATCATAATTTGAAAGCTTTCAGAATCACCAACAAAACTATTACAATGTAATTTCTGAAGTTAATAAAATGAAAATTCCAGATTGGCTAAAACTTGTGCAGTGATTCTTATTCGAAACATAAAAACTAAAATGGGAATGGGATATTTTAGGATCATTTTCCAAAATTAGTAGATTGACTTTGTGAATTTAAATATGTACATTATACAAGTGTTCCATATAATGTTCACCCCATAATTGTTTTCTCAGGGGATGCTTGTTAATAGTTTGATGTTAGGAATGGGTTGTTGTCTTTAGTTTTTACATGCAACCCCCCCCCCCCCCCCCCAAAAAAAAAAAAAGGCCTGGTATTTGACCTGTTCTAAATTAAAAGATGGAAGGACATACCTCTGTGTAACAATGAAATAACAATTCATATGGAAAAAATCAAGCCCAATCAAGCTAAAATAAATGGAAAGCTCTTTAATTTTGAGGAAAGTCCCATATTTGGAAGAGAACGTACATTGCTTGAGCTTAAGCATGGTCTTTAATATTCAGATTCTGTGATAAGCAATCAGTCAGTGAACTTCAGTGTATTTCTTAACTCAAGATTTAGCACATGCTTATCTTCGTAGCATTTGATTTAATTAGTTATGTCTCACAAAATTTCTTTAAACACTATCAAATTAGGAAAGCTGGTACTCCAATTACTTAATGTAGTAACTTAGTTTTTATAACTCGACAAAAAATGTTTTAGAAGACAAGGGTTACAGAAGTCTTTTTAAAAAGTAACAGTGCTTTCCTTTTATGTTTTCTAATAGATTTAACTATATGTGGCTCATTTTATTTCAAGTCATTTTATGGAGTAATGTTCCTTTATGTTTGCTATAGTCAATTCATATATATATTCTGTTCATTTGACATTATGTTCTTTTATTTGAAATTGCTTAATAGTTATTTTTGAGCTTGTATAATTCTTATTTATTACAGATACTTGCAGATACTCCCATTCAGCATCTTGAAATGCTTTACATCTCTATAACCAACATGGTACTGGCACTAAAATTGCTTATTAACTCAAAACTATTTTAGGACATTAGAGCAAAAATCAAAAGTGACTGAATTTTTAAGAGTTTGCATAATTTAATTTCTTCAAGTTATTCAAAGCAATCTGGTGCTTGCAAGTAAAATTTTATGCATAGACTTTAATGAACATGTTTGAACCTATAGTTTACCCTTCTTTGAAATATAATACTAAGGGGAAATTAAATTAAAAGCACTGAAGTGAGCATATTACTTATGAGCTTTCTTCCAATTCAAAAAATACATATAAAAGCATTTCAGAAAGGAACTGATTAAGAGTCATATTTTGAAAGTTCCACTTCTAAATGTCACTGCATAATATAAGCTATGCAGTTCTTAAGTAACAGCTCCAGATGTAGAATTAACTTCTGTTGCCAGGCTCAACTTCCTATGACTACATTGTGAGACTTAATTTGTCCAGTTGTCTCACAGTGTTAACACTGCCAGGACTTTTTGTGGGTGGACAAAGTACACCAATATTTTCTGGCATGTGGATTGGAAAGCATTTGTGTCACTTTTCATATAAACTAAAAACTAAATTCACCATTGTAAAAAGATATGGAAGAGGCGTATCTGCAATATTCTCATTTGCATACAGTGGCTATTTCTCAATCTCAGCTGTAAATTCTAGAGCAATCATTATTCATACAACAGAAATGATCTATGAAAACAGGTTAGCATTTTGACCATCAATTCCAAACTAGGCACACAAACCATAAATTATATTGCCACAATGCTTCTCATCTTTATCAGGTAAGTCACTTTAAAAATAGCACAAAAGAGAAAAAGGAATTTAATTTTTATGTAACCCGTAAATAGCCTTGTAAATGTGTAGCTAGCTTTCCTCAGTTTTGAAATGAGGGGGAACCCACAAGAAAAAGTTAATATGGAGTCACAGGTGGAAAATTACCCATTTTCCCCCCTAATAATTTCATTCTGACTTCCAAATTGGTATTGTTGAATGACATTTAAATAATGCTAGATGTTTAGTGCCATGTTAACTACAAAAATCTCCCAACCTTTTAAAATGGCTTAAAATTATTTCTCATACTAATTTTATGCTGGCAATAGATATATTAGGGAAAGGAGAGTTAGTAACCTTTTTAACAGCAGAAGAATGTCTTAATTTATAATTTGGGGCAGAAAGGGAAAATGAACCAATTTTCAGTAAGATTTGGTGCCCCTTATCTGTACCCCAAAGCACACAAGTTGCCTCGGATTGATGCATTTCAGATAAATTACTAACCATGTATCGTTAATACTCCATATATGTAGATATATCTGTGTATATATATCTATATCTTGCATTGGCTTGCATCCATTTTCAGCTGCCATACAACAAACCACTCATATGACAGATAATTTTGGAAACATTTGAATAGGGAGGACTTAATTGATATGTGCAGTGTTGTCTGCAATAGCTGCTCTTGTTGCTGGAACACAAACTAGAAACCTGTTTGCTATTTGCTGACTTCATATAGAAGAATTCAGCAAAGTGTGTATGGTATGAATGTGTGTGTAAAACAGAATCAGTCATGGAACCAACTAGGTACATGTCATGTTTTACTGAATAATTTTAAGTCATGTTGTGTGTATTTGTCTTGTCCTCTAACATTAAAATTTGGTTAATACAAATATATTTTTATAAATTTGAAGTACAGTGTGCCCCATTTTAAAGTGTTTCATTGTAAAAAATAAGTGTACTAGATTTGATTCTTAACACTTACTGGCACAGATGGAAAAAGCTATTGGCTCCAAAAATGTGAGAGGAAGAAACATTCTCAAAGTGTATGTGTATTTACAAACCAAGCTGTAGAGATCAAGAAAAGAACTTTTACTGTTCTCAAATTTCTAAATTGTCAAGATTTATATGGAGTTGTGGTGGAACTAGTTAACACTTAGAGCTTTTGGTATGTAATGACTATTTGCTATGGACTGATATTAAATGTTTCAAAGGATTGCGTTATTAAATTTTCTGGATTTTGTTATTTTCCTCTTGAATTATATTAAGTAGTTTAAATTTCTTTTCTGACATTAAAACATGAATTTTGGGGCTCCGTATTTATTTTCACTGATTTTACTAATTTATGGGGCATATTAATTTTTTATTTTATAAATATGTAGTATATATCTTAAACATATCTTAAATCGTTCAGTTCAAGCTACATTAATTCCTGATTGTCTATTGGAGTTTTTTTAATGAAACTTTTCCATGTTGGTGCACAGCACTTGACAAATATTTGTATTCCCTCTTTCCAGTTCAATAAACAAAATAAATAACTGGATTTGATTAGTTCTTAGCTTTATAAGCTTTGACTTCTATTTTATTCTAGAAAGGAATAGAAATTCCTTTCCTTTCTAAGACGTATTCACATATGATCATGCAACTTCTCAATCCATGACTATTCAGCAAGATTTCTTGTGAAAATGGAACCTATACTGTTCAGGTTTTAGCCAAGTTACTCACTTGGAGCACAAAGCCATCGCCATAAATCTTAGGCTTCAAAAGCTACACAACAGCTGTCTTAAGGGCAAGCAACATCAGGCTGCTTACTAAACCAGTGGCTTTAGGTGTTGCCTTCAGCTTGGAAGATTGCACCTGTATTGAACTGTTTATAGTACCAAGTGTCCAACAGCAAATGGGATTGCAGATATACTGCACAACTTCAATTTGGATGTGGCTTACTGCCATTATAATACAGGCAAACTATGTACACACACACACACACACGTACAGTCTTGAAAAAAATATTAAAAAGAGGTATTTGAAAAAGCACTTCACAAAGTACTGTAGCGGCTGTGTGTGACCTGAATGTTAGAAGTGAGCTGCAACAGCTTAAATTGAAGGAAACTAGTTGCATATGTGGAAGGTAACACTGAACTGACAAATGCTTGGCCACTGAACATATTTCAGCCTTCAATTTAAACATATATAAATGAACCATATTGAAAATGTTGCCTCTAGGAAAGAAAACATTGGTCATTCGACTCTGGTAAGCTTCCTTTTATATGATAAAATCATCTTCAATGAAACGGTTATAGCTGCTGCTTCACTCTAATAAGTGAATTTGCTCCACTGGGTAACCAGTATTCTTGCAAAATCTTAACATTACATAAGAATTAAATACAGTAAGAAAATGGATTTGAGTAGGAACAAAACAATAGTTGCAAAAACATAGTATTGTAGTTTCTAAAATATTTTATATGTTAAAAATACAGCAAAAATATGTTTTGTTCAAAGAAGAAAAAATATACTGCATGACATCACTGGTCTGGATTTTCTGGAGAATTGCCTGTGGCTTCATAGTATTTCAATGGAGTAAACATCAATTTGGCAACCATAATACTTCATTTGGCCACTTCATTTTCAGTCATTTATTAAAGACAGGATCATACTATAAAGAGTAAAAATAAAGATGATGTCAAAAGGTGTAGAGCTTGAAATAAACTTGATTGCTCTATGCAATTTATGTCAGCAAAACTCTCAGTGCCTCTGAGGGGACAGAATAGAGTATTTTTGACAAATCCAAGATTGATGACACTACACCTCCTATTTGAAGTAAAGTGGCATATAATCAATTCCATAGTTTAACATAGTATCCCTATCAGAGGCAGAAAATGTGGCATAAACAAAGTAGAACTGTTTGGGATATCTTATACAACACTGCGATAATAAATAGTATTGCTTCCACTAAGGCTCTTCCAAAGTTAAACACATTAAAATTATAACAAACTATTCTAATGGGAATCATAAGAATAGCTTTACTAACCTCAAGATGCAAGCATTGAGACTTACCTGTAAAGATACATGAAGAAACAAAGGAGATGAAAACCAAGCTTTATCATTGCCTCCTTCATGTGTGATTTTAGCTGCCCTCTGTTGTGGATTTCTGTAGGGTCAAATACTCCCATGTTCCCACTGGGAACCATGATATACCTGAAATGGTTTCAGGAAAATTGTTTCAGTACCAACTGCTCCAGCCCAATAGATTAATGATCTCCATATCAAAAAAAGACAAAACATGCAAAACAAAGAACTGAATTGGTGCCTGAGTTCTTTCAAACAATACATAATGTTAAAGTGTTGCATATGGGTTTCAGAAGAGTGGAATAAAATAGATCATTTTGAGCTCCATCCAGCATCACTCAAATACACCCAAACTCTTCGATAACCGTCTGTCAAGCCTCTGAAGTTGTAAATAGCAGGACAGACAAATTCCCTTGTGGTGTGGAGGTGCATTTCTGGCATTAATCAAAAGACCTTTCAAATCGGATGCCAGCTCATGTTTTTTTCCAATAAATATGTCTGAATTTGCCATGTTAAAATTTGCATGCAGTTTTCAATCAATCTTAAGTCATCTTTTAAAGCTTGGACACTGTTTAGAAATGGTGAGCTCATTAGCACATAATTTATTAAAATATTTGACTTATTAAACTTTAAAATTCTACACTTAAATCATTGACTTTTTCTATTCAATGTATTGCATTAGAAATAAATATATCCATGAAAACTTTTGAGATACTTAAAACAATATTCTATGCTTTTTATTTGTTTACTAAATATAAAATGACTCAGCCAAATTCAAAGCAGAAAATTGCATTCTTTTTCTTCTAAGAAATCCACATCCAAAGAAATTATTAATACCTTGATTTGCTTAAAAAGATATAATCCCAAGCATTATTATATAGCTATGTATATGAGGTTTTAATATTATATGCATCCTAAATTAGAAGTATTGCCAAAATTGAAAAATAAAAATAAGTTTATTAGAGGCAAAATTTAAGCCTGGGCTGTACTTTGCAAACAGAAATCTTAAAAGGGAATTCAACTTTCTTTGTTTTTCCTTTAGATGAAAGCAAAATTGATAAAACTCCAAAAGTAGTGCTTCATGCCCTGTGAACTTTCAAGATATGTATTTTCTTAGATTTATATCCTGCCTTCCAGAAGCCCTTTTTTTTACCATCCAAAACCACCCTATGAACAAGGTTGAGCTGAGAAAGACTGGTCCGCAATCTTCTAGTAACTTTTACAGCTAAGAGTAGAGCTGAATCTAAGTGTTCCCAGTCCTGGTTCAATGCTTAACTACTAATTACCACATTACTAGGTATTTTTTGCACCACCAGCAAATACGATACTTATTCCTGGAAAGTACAAAAGTGACTTTATACTGTTTTCATCTCAGGATGGGGTGAAAAGTGGATCTTTGAGTAAGACCAATGATGCAGTAGATTTTCACATGATCATGCTCAAAGTCAGTTTTAAACTTGACACTTTTAACAATACAGAAGTTATATATGTACATATACTCCTTGGGAAAAGGAAAGTCTGATATATCTATTGTTGGTGTTATCCAAAATCCATGCTAAAATCCAATGAGAAAAGAAAAGTAATATTATATTTCTATCACTTCCTGCTGACATTGCTGGACTAATAAATTATGGAACAAAGCAGTTTATAAAATTGCTTGTTCATTAAGAGAAAAAAAATATGAGGAACATCATGCAATTCCTAAGCCACCAAAGCAATGATCTTACCTGTATATGTTCCACGTTGCCACAGGAAAATTGAGGAGGAAGATGAACCAGTGCAGTGAAATAAGCATTAATACAGTGACAATGGTGTGGCCAATCAATTCAGGGATCACCCACTAGAAAGATATTCAAAACAATTTTAAAAATAGAAACTCTTATAAAGATTCTGCAGGAATCTTCTACCTGCAAGCTGACAAGGCTACAAAACTTATTTCATTAAAAAAGAATCAGTAATTGATCTCTATCAGATGGTTCAGATATAAATTGTAAGTGTAATTTACAAAGCAGCAATTTACAAATTAGGATACCATCAGAATATTTGAAATACTATTTACGAGAACTTGATCAGCATTTCTAATA